TCTGCTGACCTCCTCTTTCCTGCTTTCCCCAGCTGAAGAAGCGAGCTCTGGGTCTGGTGAGGCCCAAACCTGCAGGGGGTGCGGCAGGGGACTCCCCAGAGCAGCTGCTGCAGGAGCCCTGCTCAGGTGAGGGGGCAGGGGTTGGGGGGCATCTCCCAGGTCCCCCAGGAGTCCTGCGGCTTGAACTCCGAGCCTGGGCACTGTCCCGCAGCTTTTTAAAAACTCACCGCTGGTGTTCTACCACTTGAGCCACGCGTCCAGCTTTTTTGCTGGCTATTTGTCTAGTCTGACTTTGAACCATGATCCTTTGATCTGAGCTTCCTGAGTAGTAGCTGGGATGACGGGCCTGAGCCACCAGGCCTGGCTCTGATGGGCCTTTAAAGCCTCTCAGTGGTTGCTAAGTGAGGAATGGCCTGTAGGGGGCAGGGGTGAGGCAGAGGGTCAGGGAGGTCACCACTGTCAAGGTCGGGGCGGGGGGGGGGGACAGCTGTGCTACGGTGTGCGTGTGTAAGCGTGTGCATGTACATGTGCACGGGTGAGGGGAGATGCTGGTAGTGGCGTGAGGAGGGGAAGAGGGTCTGGGCTCTGGGCCTCTCATCCACTGTCTTCCCTGCTACAGAGCCAGAGGGGAGCCTCAGACCCTACAGCCTGGTGCGGCCGCTGCTGGTGTCGGCGTTGCGGCCTGTGGTGCTGCTGCCGGAGTGCCTGGCGCCCCGGCTCATCCGCAACCTGCTGGACCTGCCTAGCTCCCGGCTGGATTTCCAAGTGTGCCCTGCGGGTGAGCGCGAGGTCTGGGCAGGGAAGGCTGGATGGCATGGGGGGAGGGGTGGGACGCGGGACCCAAACACCCAGCCCCGCGTCTGCCTCTTCCTCTCTCCCTGCAGAAAGCCTCTCTGGGGAGGAACAGGGCCCGGCCTCCGCTCCCGGGGCCCCCAAGGCCCAGCTTGTCACCCCCGGGCTGGGCAGCAGGATCCGAGCCATCCAGGAGTCCGTGGGGAAGGTAGGGACAGAGAGCACCCCAGGGCCACCTTCTGGGCTCCTGGGAGCCCTTGCACGGGGCCTCTGCACTCCTGTGATCACCCTGGAGGGACATCCTTGTCTTCCAACTGGCCTCTCTCCTGGGGAGCCGGGTCAGGGCCTGCAGGGCAGTGGGGGATGGGTGGGTGGGGTGGACTCCCTCCTAGAGATGGGGGGGGGTGGTCCGGGGCCAGAGCAAGGACATGACCTTTCTCCAGGTCAGCAGAGAGCCCATGTGTCCGGCTCTCTACTCACGCCTGGGAAGAGGGCCAGGGGTAACTTGGGGTCCCTCCTGCACAGAAGCACTGTCTGCTGGAGCTGGGGGTGCGGGGTGTGCACGAGCTGGTCCAGAGCGAGGTCTACCCCATTGTCATCCACGTGGAGGTGACGGAGAAGAATGTCCGAGAAGTCAGGTGAGCGCAGGGGCCGGCTCTCTCTGTGGACATTTCTGCCTCCATCCCAGAGGCCGTCTGTCTGTCTGTCCTGCCTCCCTCCCTGTCCGCTCCTCCCTCAGACTCATGGCTTTGTTTCCGTCTGCCCGTCTGTGTGCTGGCTGACCTGGCCGCGCCTGCGCGCTCTCTGCTCTCTCCGCAGGGGCCTGCTGGGCCGCACGGGCTGGCGGGACTCGGAGCTGCTACGGCAGTGTCGGGGCACAGAGCAGGTGCTCTCGGGGCTGCCCTGCTCCTGGGTGCAGGTGCCGGCGCACGCATGGGGCCACGCGGAGGAGCTGGCCAAGGTCGTGCGGGGCCGCATTCTGCAGGAGCAGGCCCGCCTCGTGTGGGTAGAGCGAGGCACCGTCTGCAGCAGCAGCAACAGCAGCGAGGCCTGAGGGGCCGGTGCCTGGGTCTGTCCTGCATCTGACACGGGAGCCTCCTCCATCGGATGCCTGGCCTCCTCCATCGGATACCCGGGCCTCCTCCATCTGACACCCGGGCCTCCTCCATCTGATACCCGGGCCTCCTTCCACATTGCAGGAGCTGCTAGCTAGAGGACCCTCTGTGGTGGAGTGAGTCTTTCCTCCTGGGTCTCCCCGGCCCTTGGGTTCTGCAGTGTGGACCCCTCGGCCTGGCCTCCCACTCTCCTGTTGGTCGCTGGCCCATGGCCATTGACCGGCAGAGCCCGACTCAGTGCTGGCCCTGCACTTGCTGCTCTGGGCCTTCCACACTCCCACTTGGTCTCAGTGTGCATCTGTGTCCCCTTCTCGAAGGCTCCTCACCCCTGGGCAGCGTTTGCAGGAGTTCTCCCCTGGGGGTGGGCGGGGCTCTGGCTCTGCCCCTCCCCCCGGGCGCAGGAGGCTGCCCTGTGTGACTCCACCCGTCCACCGCCCCTTCCCTGTCGGTGGATATGGCCGCTTTGTCCACCTGTACCTGTCCTGTGTATCTGTGCTTCTGTCCCACCCCAACCCCCGGCACTGGGCACTCACACTTGTGTGTGTTCTCAGTGCACACTGTCTCAGGCCCTGCCTTGGAGGGGAGGGCGAGGGGCGCGGCTGCTCGGCCACCAGAATGTACGCCCGGACGTTCCTCACGGGCCTTTTCCACTAAGCTGCACACTATGGAACATTAAACACTGTTTGTCATAGGTCGAGTGGCGTCTGCCTGCTTGCAGCCCTGGCCTGGGGCTTCCCCTCCACGGCTCCCTTCTGTCCCTACCCCCAGCCCCGGCTGATGTCACCTTTCAGGTGCTGGGTCCCTGTGGGGTCAGATTTCCCTCCTGACTTCTCCAGAGCCGCCTGCCATCTGTGCCATCTGGGCCGGCATCACCTTACCTGCCCCGCGGCAGGCGGTGGACCCCGCAGACGGGCCCCCAGCGTGTGCCTCTGCGCGGTCAGCAGAGGGGCGTCCTCGGGCGCAGGGTGCGTGTGTGTGTGTGGTGGGGGGACTTCAAGGATCTGGCTGCTGAGCTCAGAGGACCAAAAGCAAGCCTTGGGAGGCAGCCCAGGCCCTGAGCCGGCCCCCCAGAGAGGACGCCATCTCCAGCAGGAGCAGTCCAAGCAAACCGACCAGACCAGGTGTCCCTTGGCCTTGGGGGTTGCCATTCCTTTTCTTCCAGGAAGCACTTATTGGCTGGGCATGGTGGCTCATGCCTGCAATCCCAGTCCTGCGGGCATGGGGGGCAAGTGGGAGGTCAGTTGGGGTTATACAGTGAGACACTCACAAAATGAAACAAAACCACAAGAGTTAAAAGGAAAAGCAGTCTGCAGATGACTGTCTGGTAACAGTGCTGCATCTTGCAGACCTCAGGGGGCCTGGCTGGGGACTGGGGTACAGCTTGGGCTGCATCTGTAGGCTGAGGAGCCTCCTTGGGGTGCTAGAAGAGGCTGGGGGCAGGGGGAGCGCTGTTGGGGGTTGGCACAGTGGCTGGAAGAGGGTGTCCATGCTGGAGAGGGGGCACCAGCGCTGGGCAGACCAGGGACTTCCGGGGGGGGGCTGGGCCATAATGGACAGACTGGTGGGAATGGCCCTGAGCTTAGGAAGCAATTGGAGCTGAAGTTTTGGGGTGGTGGGTGGAGAGGGGAGGCAGGGAAGCAGAGAGGGGAGGAGGCCTGGATGAGGAGCTCCGGCCCCATCTTTATCAAGGATGGGGTACCGAGGACATGAGGAATTCGAGGCTCTCTCTCAGTGAATGAGGGGTGGAAGGAGAGAAGAGGAGCAGAACTGTTTTGCTGGCATGGAGAATGGGTGAGAGTGGAGGGTTTGGTTGAAAGACTTGCAAGCAAGCTCCTGGGCTTCTAAACCTGAGCTCCCAGTAGCTGCTCTAACCTCTGCCCTGTGTGCTGAGACTCGGGGCTGGGCAGGAGGCGTGGGGGATGGACATGTGTGCCTACCACAGGTCCATGGCTGAGCCATCGCTTAAAAGTGTGCAGATGGGGTAGGCCCCATGCTGGAGGCTGTGTGTGTGTGTGTGTGTGTGCGTGTGTGTACGTGCATGCGCACATGTGTACTGGGTCTTGAATTCCCTTGGTTCTTTCACTCCAAGCTGATGCTCTACCACTTGAACTACAGCTCTACCTCTGGCTTTTTGCTGGTGAATTGGAGATAAGAGTCTCACCAACTTTCTTTCCTGGGCTGGCTTCAAAGTGTGATCTTCAGCTCTCAGCCTCCTGAGTGGCCCAGGCTGGATTTGAGCCTAGCACACACCCTAGGGTAGTCCCTTGGTGACACTTGTTCTAAGAAGAGAGGACGGGAAGGGACCTGACTGGTCTCCCCTTTCCCAAGGGAGGCTTGGGCCGGAATGCTAAGTGCAAAGGTCCTGAGGTAGGTGAGTGTCCACTTAGGAGCCCCGCCAATCTTGAGGGAGCAGGGCGGCAGGAGGCAGCGCTGGTGAGCAGGAGCCCTCTCCCGAGAGCTTTGTGGTGGCTGCGGCTCCTTGGCTTTTGTGTTCTCTGAGATGGGATTCAGGACAACAGCGCAGAGACATGGGAGCAGGACACGGGACAGAGAATGTGTGTGTATGTGTGATCTTGACAAAATAAGATGGTGGCAGAGGCTGGGAAGGGCCGGGACCGAGGTAGCTGGGCAGGTCCCCCCCCCCCCCCCCCCCCGCCCCAGTGGACAGTTGCCAGGGCTCTACCTGGCTGTGGCCTGAGTTGCTGGATGATCAGATCCGCTATGGGGACTTGCTAAGAATCCAAAAGGCAGAGGGGCCATCAGGGAAGGCTTCCTGGAGGAGGGACCCTGGAGCTGAACCTTAAAGCCAGCCTGGGGTGGGGGGAGGATGGAGGGAGCTGGGCAGAGCACCCAGGATGGGGGAAACTGGGTGGGCCAGGACTCAGCACAATCGTGGGTGCCTTGGGGTGGGGGGCGGGTCTGCGTGTGAAGGCTGGAGGCCCCCTCCCCCCCAGCTCCACCCCGGGGATAGCAGCTGGTGGGCCGGCCCCCCTCAACAGGGCCCTCCTTCAGCCACCTCTGGGGCTCCAGGCCTGGCCCCGCCCCCGGGGCTGAGCAGGGCGGGGCCGCAGCCCAGCGTGGCCCAGGCGGGACTGGCGGTGGCAGGAGGAGGGAGCAGGTGGAGGCCACAGACAGACGGCGGGGGACTCAGCCTCCACGCAGGAGCCCCAGAGCTTCTGGGGCAGCTTCTGCCCTCGGTGCCCGGCCCTCATGCCTGCCAGGCTTTGGGGTCTGCCAGGATCCCCTGCCCTGGGCTGGCCAGTGGCACTAGGGGGCTGATGCGGGGCCGGCCGCTCCGGAGTCTGGTGGGAGCGCTCCTCGCCCTCCTGTGCATGGGGCTGGTGTCCCTGTCCTACCGCTCCAGCCTGTCCCCCCAGGGGGTGCAGGAGACCTGTAGGCCCAGCCAGACGCCCCCCGGGCCCCGGGAGCTGAGGCTGCAGGACGTCTTCATTGGGGTCAAGACCACCGGTGCCTTCCACCGCTCCCGCCTGGACCTGCTGCTGGACACGTGGATCTCCAGGGCCCAGCCACAGGTGAGGCCACAAGAGACCGGGGGTGGCAGGCTGATGGAGGTGCTCTGGTGGGTGGCGGGCTTAGGCGGGGCTGCTGGGGAGCGGGGCTTCCTTCCAGGCGCCTGGCAGCCCCTGCCAGCTGCGGTGGGGTGGGGCGAGCCAGGGTTTCCTGTGGTGGCTTCCTGGGGAGCGGGCGAGCACCCTGGGGTGGGGAGAGTGGCCGGGGCAGAGGGCGGGCAGGAGGCTGAGGTCAGGCGTGTGTGTGGGGATGACAGGTGTCATGGGGTGACCTGGGCGCCTGGCTCCCGTCTCCCAAGGGAGCAGGCTCCTGCAAACCCAGCCCTGCAGTCGTCCAGGGATCCTGTTCCAGCACAGCCAGCGACCTGGGGGCGCTGGACTTGCACACGCATGCCCACGCGCGCACATCCACACACACGTGTGCACATACATTCTGTTCTCGCTGGCTGCTGGCTCTGTAGGAGGAAGTGACAGTCGTTGGAGGGGATGCCCAGGAGCAGGGAGCAGGCAGGCCCAGCAGAGGCCAGGGTCTCTGCTTGGATTTCCTGGCTCTGAGCCCTCTCCCCATGAACCTTTTCCCAGCAGCCCCCCTCCCCCCAGGCCCTTGCTCTTCTGGGGGTGGAGGGGGGCACGCCGCTTCACCTCTTAGGGAGACTCTGGTCCCTGCGGAAGCGGACAAGGCCAGCCCTTCCCGCAGATCTTCCTGTTTCTGTGGGGGGGCTGGCCTGTGTGTACCTCAAGCTTGGCTTCACCAGCTCTGAGGCTCTTTCCTGTCTTGTCTTGCTTACACGGGCAGCGCCTTGTCCCGGATGAGGAAACCGAGGCCGCAAGGAGGAAGTGCCTGAGTAGTGTCACCCAGAAGGCCTAAGGAAGCAGAGTCCCACCAGGCAGCAGGTCCCTTCCTTTTCCACCAAGGCTGAGGCCCAGGGAGGGTCTCCCCCCCTCACTGTCTGGGCGTGAATGGGCCCTGGACCCTTCAACTTGGGAGGCTTTACCTGGCAGCCGTGACCCCTGTCTCCAGTCAGACAGCTAGGCCGGCCGCTTCTCCCCTGAAGGGGCTGTGCGTCAATCAAACAACTCCCCCCACTTAACCCTCCCAACCATCTTCATGGTGGGTATCGATTTCCCATTTACAGGAGAAGAAATGGTGAGGTTAAGCTGAGGCCAGAAGTAAATTCACTAAGTTGGAGCTTAGAGCAAGCGATAGTCTTAAAATCTTGTCTTTGAAGTTGAAAGAAAGAAAAACAATCACGTGAGGCTCGGCTGGTGGCTCACGCCTGTCATCCTAGCTACTCAGGAGGCTGAGATCTGAGGATCACAGTTTGAAGCCAGCCTGGGTTAGGAAAGCCCTTGAGACTCTGATCTCCAATGAACCACCAAAAAGCCAGAAGCAGAGCTATGGCTCTAGTGGCAGAGTGCTAGCCTTGAGCACAAAAGCCAAGGGACAGTGCCCAGGTCCTGAGTTCAAGTCCTAGTACCAGCACAAAAAAAAATAAAGAAAAAAAAGTCAGGGGGGAAGTAGGGGTCAGGAGCACCCACTGTGGCTACCTCATCACTAGATGTATTTGTCTGTGTGATCTTGGGGTTGTCCCTTCCCCTTTAGGCCTGTCCTATCTCCTTCGTGCACAGCACAGATGCTCTGGATGGGGCCTCAGCTGGTTAGCTCCTGCCTGGGTGCCCTGCTGGTTGAAGGTGGTGGGTAGCAGGTGGCCTTTGTCCCAGTGGAGGGGGTGGGCTGGGAGGCAGTTTTGTGTGTTTTGAGCTTTCTCTTCTTGAAGTCCCCTGGGGGGAGGGGGTGGGGCAGGGAGGGTGACGGGGCTCTACTGCTCCAGTCTTCAGCTGGCAGATGGTCCCCGCCACCCCCCTCCCCTGTCCCGGCAGGCTGCGGCCCCTTTGTTTGCCGGCCTGTGAAGTTTTAACCATTGTCAAGGCTTTAAACAAATCAAATGCCGTCCCGGGCTGAGGGGCAGGCTTTGCCCTTCTCTGTGCCAGCTTCAGGGCCATCAGCCGAAGCCACCAGCAGCTCCCAGGTCCCCTCCCATCCTGGGGCTCTGCTCATCGCCCGGCTTCACCCACCCTGATTTATTCAAGCCTATTAGTTCCCCAGCAAAGATTCCTGCAGCCTCGCCCAACCCACGCTGCAAACTTGAGGATGTTTACTGGCGGCTGTTTTTTTTTTTGTTGTTGTTGTTTTGCCAGGGATCAGGGTAGAAAAGCTCCCCTCCCCTCTTGCTACATGTCTAGCCCATGGCCTGACTTCTTTTATAGGCTCCCTTGGGGGCTGTGTTGTAAGCGGACTTGGGTTGGGGAGCAGATGCCACAGGAGGCAGGGAAAGGTGGCAGCCTGCAGACCAGCAGGGGGCGCTGTGGACTAGCCTGGGGCTGGCCTTGATGGGAAGGGCTGGGGTGGAAAGAGGTGTCCAGGATCATTTGCAGGGTGGGGTGAGTGGATGGAAGGGACGGGAGGGAGGAAGTGCCTGGCTCAATCTTTTATTCTTCATGTGTGTGTGTGTGTGTGTGTGTGTGTGTGTGTGTGTGTTGCTGGGGAGCTAGCCCTTCATGCATGCCAGGCAAGTACTTTATCACGAAGCCACAGGCCTTTGGAGTCACAGCTGTTGGGGATGGGGGTGAGTGGGCAGGATGGCCACTCAGAGACTCAGGAGGCAGACCCCAGGGAGAGGAGCTTGAAAGGCAGATTCTGAGCCGGGTGCTGGTGGCTCACACCTGTAATCCTACCTACTCAGGAGGCTGAAATCTGAGGAGGATCAAAATTCAGAGCCAAGCCTGGGCAGGAAAGAAAGTCCGTGAGACTCTTATTTCCAGTTAAACACCAGAAAACCAGAAGTGGCGCTGTGGCTCAAGTGGTAGAGTGCTCTTCTTGAGCTGAATTGCTCAGGGACAGCACCCAGGCCCAGAGTTCAAGCCTCACAACCAACAGGATAAAAGAAAGGTAGATTCTGCCCAGCTCCCCCCAAGGGAGCCAGGTGCTGGGACAGGGACATAGACCAGAGCAGGACCGAGGCCTCCATGGTGGAGCTTTCTGGTGGGGGAAGCCACAAAATAAACTTCTGTTACTACGACTGAGCTTTAAGAGCCACAGGGAGCCATGGAAGGTGTTGGTGAGCAGTGGTGGGGGGTGTCATTGCATTCTGGCCCTCAGAGGACCTCTGGTCCTTAGGCAGGATCTTGAAGAGTCCCCAGAGGATGGCAGTGTTCAGAAGCAGGCTTGTGGCTGTGGCCCTGGGGAGGAAGGCCTGGTTCCCCCCCCCCCCCTCCCCTTCCTGTACCCAACCCTGGCTTCTGGGCTCCCGTGTCTCAGTTTCCTCTGAGACACAAAGGAGCCTGGTTTCATGGTCCACACCTTTTATACAAACCTCATGGCTGTACCCGGCAGAAGCTGGGTGGTTTCCAAAACTGGCTCGTATAATATGCTGTCACAACAGGACACACTGACCGAGCGTGTGTGGTCACCCCAGGAGGGCAGCGGTGTGTCCACCGTGGGCTGGTAGTCCATTGGGAGCTGCACAATGGAGTCCTCACGCCTCCTTCTCTTTTCCAGACATTTGTCTTCACCGACAGCCCAGATGAAGCCCTCCAGGAGAGACTTGGTAACTGCCTGGTGGGATGGGGCCCTCAGCTATTGCCAGGGCCTGGCAGGGGTGGAGGGTAGGGACAGGTGGGGGGGGGACGGGGAGGGGAAGGGAGGTTAGGAAATCGGCTGCAGGTCTGTGCTAGGGAGTGGAACAGACATGGAAAGGCCTTGGGGTGCAGACTTCCTGGGAGATCAAGACATTCCGGGCTGTGGGGAGGAGCTGGGAGGGTCCCCTGACTCTCCTTTCTCCAGGGTCCCACCTAGTGGTCACCAACTGCTCCGCTGATCACAGCCACCGGGCTCTGTCCTGCAAGATGGCTGCTGAGTTTGACGCCTTCTTGGCCAGTAGGCTTAGGTGAGTGCTGATTTGTCTCTTTTGGGCCAGGTGACCTTTGTCTCAGGCCAACTCTTGAATCTAGAGTTGTGTCAAAATGCCAAAGACATGTCAGGCGCCAGTGGCACACGCCTGTAATCCTAGCTACTCAAGAGCCTGAGATCTGAAGATTGCAGTGCAAACCAGCTCAGGCAGAAAAGACTGTGAGACTCTTATCTCCAGTTAACCAGCAAAAAGCTGGAAGTGGACCTGTGACTCAGGTGGTAGAGCACCAGCCTTGAGTGAGAAAGCTCAGGGACAGGATAGTGCCCAGGCTCCAAGTCCAAGCCCCAGTACTGGGACTCAGAGACACAGAGATACAGACACACAGACACACATGCAAATGAAAACTTGAAGATGCCCCTGGCTCTTGGGGTCTGATTCACCTTCTTCCACCTAGCAGGCAGGGTGTGGTGTGCTGGGTTCACAATCTGCCACTCACTGACCCTATGGCCTTGGGCCAGAGCCTTAGCCTCATAACCTTGGTCCTCATCTGTTAAGTAGGGGCGCGGTCCTGGCCAGCTTGCGCCCAACACAGGCCCGACTCAAGACCAGGTTCTTCATTGGTAGCTGTTGACAGGGGCCCAGGCAGGGCTGCTCCCGCAAGCCTGTGGTCCCCCTTCAACCCCACAGGTGGTTCTGCCACGTGGACGACGACAACTACGTGAACCCCCGGGCGCTGCTGCGGCTGCTGGCCGCCCTCCCGCAGGCCCGCGACGTCTACGTGGGCAGGCCCAGCCTGAACAGGCCCATCCGCGCCTCGGAGCCGCTGCCGCACAACCGCACGGTTGGTCCATCCCTGGTCCCTTCCTCCCTCTCCTATTGGTTGCTGTGCATATGGGCGGGGCCTGAAGGGGAGTGGCTACCTCAGGGGCGTGGCTTCTAGGGGCGCGGTTATAAGGGACGGAGACCATGGGGGGGG